AAGGTTCATTTGCTGTTCAGACCACGCTGAGATCCTTGCAAGTGCCYACAGGGCTTGGTATGATGTGTCGCTGACTAACTGGGGAACCTTCTGACCTGCAAAACTAGAAGTCAACTTACTTGGCTCCAAGTTTTACTTTCTGCGAACACTTAGAAATGTTCCTAGTAGAATGACCTGCTGTTACATATGTATGTGTTGGGGAAAAAAAAAAAACCTTGCAAGTTGTTATTCCAAATATGGTTAAATCATTTTGATAAGGATTTGGAATAGTGAATTTAAAACCCCAAATAAATCAAAGGTGATGTACTAACCTCTTGTTTTCCTCAAAGGTTCTGGAAGGCTTTTGTTTTTATTAGCATAGTGTCCTTTTCTAATGTCAGTGTTATGCGGCTTACCAAATGTGTTGCAGAAAAACCCTGTGGTGCTTCTCCATGTGTATTTTGAGGAACAGCAGGTGCTAAAGAGAAGAGGTGAATGGATGTGAGAAGAAAAGGTTTACCAAAGTCTMGCAAAAGAGAACTGAATCTCTAGTAGGAATGGGCAAAACTCTTGGACCCTCTTTGCTTTCCCCAACCCAGATTTGAGCTCACCGTCATTTGTAGCTTGAGTTTGGTTGTGATGAAGGCCCTGCCAAATTTTCTAAATATTCTCTAGGTTATTCATCTCTATTCTACATGACAAAATAGCCTCACACAGTAGGCTGTGGTCTCCTAGGTGTGATAATATAATGAGCTCATTTATGGGCTTACAGTGAGATGGAAAAACCTCAAACTTGATCTGTTTTTAACCCTAAACAGGATGGAGCTGGACATGGTGGCTGCTGACCCCCCTTCAGTGACTTTTGTCACCTTGCTATGTGCATCCCTTCAATCCTGTACGGYTTGCTCAGGGTTACCTTGGGTGGTGTGAAAACCAAGCCCGGCGTGCTGGGAATAAATTGCCTGAAGGTTCCATTTTAGACATGAATAGTGGATATTTACTTCCCAGCTTTACACTGGCTGGACTGTTTCACAGGCATTATAGCATCAAGATAAGCTACAACATGTTCTTCATTTATTTCTGGCTGTTTCTAACATGCAGCCTGCCTAGACTCTGTGTTTTCAGGAGTCTTCTCCCTGGCATGGTTTTTAAACAAGGGGTGAACCTACTTTATCTTCTCGCTGCCTGGGCCTGCTTCTGGGCGCTGTCTTTTATCCGTGCCCTTTGTGCTGTGGCCTTGGAGGTGCCCCASGCTGCTCTGTGCACCTTCACCAGGCAGCTTGGCCTTGCCTGCCGTGCACCCTCCGCTCCATCTTTTCATTAGGAGCRAATCCATCGTGGTTAGGAGATGCTGGTCTGTTCTTCCCATGTCAAATTTGGCTGGGTTCAGAGCTGATCACGAAACTTTCAGCACAAAAKCAAGCAAGCAGACAAACCAAGACACTTATTTTCTGCAGAATCATCAAAGTCTTCCCTATGTTTGTCACTGCATAAAGGAGCCYGACTTCCCTTTAGGTGCTGCGAGTGTCTCCTCACTCCTGCGCTCYTCAAATTTCAGGCTCGCTCCTCTCAGTGCACACCCAGGAATGCACTTGCCCAAGGGCAAGATGGTYGCCTTTGCTCGCCTCCAGTTTACCGGGTGATTGGAGAACACAAGGAAAAATGTGCTATTGGCATGGCCAGCAGCTAAATGTCAATTTGGCTCCAAGATAATACCTTTAACKACGGAGGCTATTTCTGTAAGTAGGTGCTCCTTACACAGGCAGGGATTGAAGGATCAGACTCATAGCATTGTAAAATCACTCTCTTAGGAGTTTCCAGGACTGCCTGGAACGTTTTGAATTTCATTCTCCAAACCCTCAGGCAGCTTTTGAATATCTCAGCTCTAATATATTGAAAYAGCAGATACGGAGATTAAAAAAATAAGGTGGGGGGGAGGTGAGAGAGGAAAAGAAGGGGCTCTGCTCTGTTCTATCAGGCGATTCCCAGCAGGGCTATCAAAAAAACAGGGACCCCTGCAGACTGCCATTAGCATTTCAGCATTGGATAGGGCTGCAAGGTGGGTTTGGGGGGTTGAAGGGGCAGAGGTGTGCCCAGAGAAGCCACAGTGCGGGTGGCAGAGCCTGGGCTTTGCTCTTGCAATCTGCTTCTTCGGGGCCAGGTGTCGTTGCCACATCAGGRGCCACCGCAGCTTTCCCAGCTTCTGTGCTAGGACTGAATTCTCTAATATGGCAYGAGTCTTTAGTATATTTAGTATATGCATTGGTGCAGGTCTGCCAGAACACAGGTAGCCTTGGCAAGCAAACTGAAATCAAAATTTCATCCTGATCTCTTCACTATAAATATTTTTAAAAAATTATGTAAAAAAACATTTTTTGTCATGGTTGCTCAGACCCATTTACTCAGGAATATTCATGCTATTTTCCCAGACTCCAGCCATTTCAGCCACCGCCCCTTGGCAGTGGGCGGCCTGGGGGGCAGCGGGACCAGGAGGCAGCAGTGGCGGCTCTGGCAGCGGGATCAGGATGGGGATGGGATTGGGAGCGAGCCCCGGCCCGCGCGCCACACGATGGCACTGCCTTCCCGCGCTAGCGAGCGCCGCTAGCTTGAGCTTCACCTTGCTCTCAGTTAAGTATTTCATCAGAAGAATTTCTTCTGAGCACAGATTGTATTTTCCTTCAGAAACAGAACAGGGGAGGTTGTTTTTATTGTCTTAAAGAAAAAAAAAAAAAGGAGCCATAAAAAAGCTGGAAAACTTCAGTTTTGAGAGTAGCAACTTTAACTGAACATTTTGTCTGTTCATTCCCCCCCCCTGCACTAACTGCCAATATTGCAGCTCTGTAAGAGGAAAGCTGCAAAAATTTCATGCAACCATCAAGTACTAGTTGCCTGAATATATTAAAAATCACATGTTTCTTTTCTGAGGAAATATTTTTAACCAAAGATTTTTTTTTCCTATTTCTTGCAAGCTTTTATTTCCAGTTCAGGAATCTGAAGGGGACAGTCAAGTCTCTGACAGAGATCATGAGGGGTTATAAAACAGTGATTATTTTTTTGTTTCTTTTGTGTTATCAGCTGAAAAACACCTTGGAATGTGTATAATTAGATTGTTTTATAAATATTGCATTAAAGGACCATAAACATTATATTAAAAAAAGGCACTGTGCAAAGCCTTGTTTTCAAGAATTGTGCTTTTAATTCCCTTGGTTGAGAGTCTGAGGATAATGCAGGAATAAATTTAGAATAAGTAGGATAAACTATGCCATCAGTTTTCTTCAGTCATTAATATTGTACCTAAACTGATAGTGATTGAAATGTTTTTCTAATAACTCACAATGTGAGATAATTCTAACTTTAAGAATTGCATTTTAATGTAATCTTTGCTGCCCTGAGTGAGTTTACATTATGGATGCTGGTACAGCAAGAGAAATGATAGAGGAGAAAAACCTCCTCGAAAACAATGTCTCCGAGGTAGACAAGTAGGTAAAACCTTAATTTACGTTGCAGCCCTGGCTTGGGACTCCAAAGGGAATGGGAACATAAGCCAGCAAGTACTGGGAGCTCTKAATGGTGCCACATAGTCCTGTAGGTGTCCATGGAAGTGACAATTCCTGCCCTTGTATTTGTAGCTGCTTTAGCTCCGCACACCACTGGTAGGAAATTCTTCTTTATTTCCAGAACCAGTTGCAGTCAGAGGTGGGCTAAAAGCACCATTCATTTAGATTAAAGATCCCAAAGCTATCACGTTTGTAACCATTTGTCACCACTTAAGTAGCAGTGCATAAATGTCACGGGGCTGGTATACGATTTGGTCTCTGCTGACAACAGCTCCATTCCTTACGTTTGCTCAGCATCTCTTTTTGATGGTTTACGTTTCTGTTGAGCAGACCCTGGAGTTTATGCAGAAAYGTGATCATTCTGTAGGTTACCAGGCCTGGATCCCCTCAGCACCAGGGAAAGCTGCTAGTGTTGAAGATGAGTAGCAGTCAACTGCCTTGCCAATGGCCACTCTAAGTGGTAGAGTTCTTCATGGCACTTAATAGGTGGATCTCCATTTTGTGGGCATATTTATATATTTTTCTGTTGTTTTAGGTCAGAACAAAAGCAAGTTTTTTATAAACCTTTCTCAATTGGAAATTTCACAATAATTTAGTCCAGAAAATGCAGGTTTCAAAACATCATTTAAATTTTGTTTAAGGCTACATTATTTTTCATGCCATTTCAACACTAATCCTTCCAATTTTATTGTCATATTACATTATAGATGAAATACTATTTTTTATTTTAATTTTAAAATAATTAAAGATGAATTGCTAAATAGTGTTGATTTCCTTTTTAACTGAAAAAGAGTGGATTATCTAATTAAAACAGCTTAGACTGTTTTCAGTTTAGGATAGTGGGGTAATTCATGTTGGAAGGGACCTCATACGGCAGATGCTGCTGAAGCTTAGAAGACCAYCTTCCAAGCTAATGTAGCCATGAGGTTAGACCAAGTTACATGGACCTTTATTGAGCCTGGTCTTAAATACCTCTGAAGAGGGAGACTGTCAAACATCCCTGGAGAACACACAGTATTTTTTTTATCTGTTTTGTATCGAACTTGTTCACACAAGAAATGCCCTGAGCTTTTGGTTTGCACTGCACCCTGCAGTCCTGTCCAGCTGTTCCCCTTCACATACATGGAGTGCATTGAGCCAGTGGTGGCACCAGAGCCTGAAGCTGCACAGGATCAGATCATACCTGATCTAAATGGCTGCCTGGTTCGTTGTGTCTTTCCTCACCAGTCAGAGTTACTGGAGGGAGACTAGGAGAGGATAAATGCCAATGATTGTTCCCTTGCAGGGACTGATAGACTGCAGTGGGATAAAGAAAAATAGATCTTGAGCTTAAGAGTTGTGTCTTTACCTGTGTCTTTTGCAGGCAGAAGATGGAGATATAGGAATAGTCTTAGGATTTGCATGATCCTCTCTCTTCCTGCTTTTTCAATTCTTTCTTACAACCTTATTGTTTTTTTGTTTAAGGAGGGAGAGAAGAGATACAGACAATGAGAAGATTCCTTGGAACAGCAGCACTGAGAGCTGGAAGAGCATTATGAGCTGTCAGGGATGGATGGACTAGCTAATCCCGTGGGTGAGTTCTTCAAGGGGCAGTTTAGGAATGGACATGGGGAGTAAACCAAAGGCTGAAGCAGTTTYCAGTTAATAGGGAGTGTCAATCTTWACCTTAATCATCGGAACAGAGAGGGATTTTTGGGTTGTGGTTCACATCATAATGATTCCTGGAGAGAGCAATGAATACCAGTTTATCAAGCACAAATGCTTAACTTATAGTGGATGTCACTGGTTTTGGTCTATTGGAAGAATGTTTATGGCTTTAGACCTTACTTCCATTAAAGCTTTGGCCCAGACGGAATAGAATATAAATCCCAGTGACCCTGTTCAGTAAAAATGCCCTTCATAGACCTCATTGCTTTGTCTTCTCACTCAGTCTGTGCTTGAGACTGCTTTCAAAACTGGAGCACGTAAGGGAAAGGGTGAATTACCTGCTGCTAAGGAACTATGAGGAACTATGCCATTACGGTGACTAGCAGGACATGCAAGTTTTTAATAGGCATTTATCTTAAAATAACTTTTAAAAAATGATGTTGATACCTGGAAGACTACACTGACAGTTGCAGAGGCCTCATTGCTTCGTGCTACCGAACAGAAAGGTAGAAAGATTTTTATAGTCCACTAAAGTGCCTTTTTSCTAACCAAGGCAAACAGAGCCTATGTCTGAGCTCGGGATGTCCTGAAGGAACTGGAGATCTGTTAYAGTGGGACACTTCAGATATGGGCAGACAGGGCTCCTGAAGGTCTGGGTTAACAGGCTTCTTACACAATTCATTATGAGAATGGTTTCAGTGCTTCAGTAAAACTCCCCAGGCAGTGCTCCTAGGTGGTTGTAGTCATCATCCATAGCTTTTAAAACAACTGGAATTGTTCTTACTGGAGCGGGGTGGGGGCAGATGTCCTTGAGTAAGCATCACTTGCACCACAAGATATCCACATAACTGAAGAAAAGTTTCAGTCCTGTGGAAACAGAATCAGCCCCAGTTGACAATTAATCCGTGTCGGTGACAAAAAGCATCGTAGCCTTCTGAGTCCACGCTAATTTTGAGAAAATATCGGTTTAGCAAAGAGGTGCCATAAATAGTAGGGGCATCRGATTCAGCTAAGTGAATAGAAATGACAGGAAGTACAGACTGATTTCATGTAGTCAGTGAGAGATGGCAGGGAGAAGGCCAGATTAAATGTTCTAATGGATCAGTTTTCATCCAGAGGGGACATTTGGACCAAATATACTGAGAAACACTGTTCCATTTCTTCTCAAACAGTGCCCATATCATAACTCAGAGCTCCTTTTTGGACTGTGTTGTTTAAAGCACTGCCAGGTTATAGTTGTTGTGATTCTGTATGGTATTTCAACTGACATACTCTTTGCCCAGTTATCTTTGAGTGAAGTCAGAATCCTAGAATCCTCTCTCCATAAAGGGTTTGAGAGTTGACATTTTGCTTACAGCTAAGAGTAAACACACTGTGAATTTCAGGGTAATCTTATTTCTCCCTTCAAAAACTTCTCCTCTTTTTAAATTCGGAAGTCTTATTTCTGCCAGGCTCAGTTTAGATTTAATTTACCAACATGATATATGTGAAGAGTTAATTTAATATAGCATTTTTTAAATTGCCTACCAAATATATTGTAAGTATGATCACATCTCTCTGAAATGAAAATCAAGACCACTCAATGTCCTTTTGCCAAACTGATTGTGTCTAATTAAAAAAAGCAAGAAATCCCAGTGATGCAGCCTTCCTTCTTATTAACATGCACTGCACAGGTTACTACCTGATTTAATACAGAACGTTGTCTTGCATTGCTCCGTCCCTGAAGAAACTGCTCTATTTGGGTGAAGTTAAGTGGAGGTAGGTGATAGGAAAAGAAACAACGATCCTTACCTTAATACATGATGAGATATAATTTGACCATTTATTTCCTCTTTTTAACAAGTGAATCCAACTAGTGAAGCAGAAGCACTGGCCCTTAGCCTCAGACCCGGCACTCTGATTTCCTGGTAAATAACTAAACATGCCTACGAGATTCAGTGACGAATTCACATCAGCACCCAGTGCTCTTTGATCAATACCTCTAATCCATTAAAGATTGCCACAAAGGATCTTATGTTTCTGTCCCTTCATCCTAGTGTTAAATGGGGACTAAAACAGACTAAAGTCTTGCAAAATAAAACAAGAACATTACCCTTTGCACGTCTTAACGATAAAGAATCCTCATTAGTGCATCTGCTGGCCTGGACAGGCTATCTTGAAAGCAATTTAAATTTAACAAAGTAATTTTTAAATTAAGAAGAAAGGAGAAGTTTTATAAGAAGAAAATGTAGCAGAAGCAGCCACGCTGCTGCATTCAAAATCCTATCTCCTGAATCTGGTAACAGTTAATTAGACTAAATGGCAGCTGAACCTGAAAGAAAAGGGGCAATAGCTAAATTAAAGCCCAGGAAAATGGTTATTGAGATTTTATTGTAGGATTCAAAGCCCATTGAATTTAATGGGAATTTTTCCATTGACTTCAATAGGGTCCAAATCCATTGCTCATGGCTTTGAATAAATGGGAATTAATGTTTCAGTATATCCTCTTTTCCAATAGAAAGAGCCCCTGTGAGAAKTCCCACCAGTGACTGACTTACAGCCATACAATACTTTATGTTATTTATATGCATGAGAATATATCTATAGAGCCAGGTTCTGCAAAGGACRCTTGCTAACACAATGCTAAGGTGACCCAAGTAAGTGCTCCTTACTCTGTGACCTGTTAGACAGTTTTGAAGCTATCATGAATGTTGAAAGAGGTTTGTTGCTTTTATTTGTGTCTCTTTCTTATTGTGTTCTCATTTTTAATTTCCCACTCTCTCCTCCTTTCTAGTCTTTTACTTTTGATAATTGAAATCTAGYAAGAGAAATGTAACTTTCTATAAATGCTCTCTGTACTACACTTAAAAACGTAGCACTGGACGCGTCTTTCGTCTGACTACTGCGTTTGTTAGACCAAGGTCATAATGAGTTGGCACGTTCCCTTACTGCAATATATGGGGATCTAATGGCAGCTGCAATTATTTACTCTCCTTCCCTGAGTTATTTTCTTGGTTGCATGAGGTATCAACAATAATGCAGACTGGGACGAAACTTGAAGAAATTAACATAAAGGGTGTCARGGTGCTGTCTTCTGATTTAGTGCCAGTTTCTTCAGAACTGCATTTTATTACTATCAATATTTTCTTGTGATTGCCACTCCTGTAACATATTTTCAACACTGAAAATTAATTTCATGTAAATGTACTGTTCGATTCCATCGGTGAGGAGAGTTCATGCAGTCACTCCCTCCCCTCTCCTTCCCACCTATTATGTTATCTTCTGTTTACAGCTCATTTTCTGGACTTTCACACCCCCACTGTTTGAGAAGGATGGCCTAATGCTATGATATTTCATTTAGCCTTTGATAACTCCCCTCCCTTGGGTTGTGAGGAAGTGAAAATTACTTTATAAAAGAAGACTTGACTAACATAAGAGAAAATATCACTAAATGCTGCATCTGAGAATCGCAGTACACGCAAGGTGCTGTTCAAAACTATTAAAGTCATGCCTTTGCTGGTCTTTAGGCATGTCATTTTGTAGCCAGCAGATTTTGAGCACTTCTGTATATCCTAGGTTTTTTCCCTTTCCCTTTTCACTTCTCTTGAGCAATTACAGTGCAATTACAGGTTTCTGTGGTAGATAGAATAGTACTTTCATAGGGTTCTTCATGTGGCAAAGAAAATTATAGTACAGTAAACACCTTAGGGCAAGGATGAGATTGATATTTTCTCTTTTTTGAAAAAAAATCTAAGCATTTTAATCTAGTTTCGGAGAGGAATTCTATACCCTAGAGATAGGGGAGAATGAAGAAGAGATCTCAGGATAGATAATGAAAGTTCATAGCTTCCAGCCTTGGAGACTGTCACTSTCAGCGTGAACCTTGGGATGGGAAGAGCTCTGGTCTGGGCATCCAGGGATCCTGGTTCCTGGTCCTTTATCCTCTGTGCCCAGTAAAGCTGTTCCTAAGTGTCTGAATGATGCTGCATGGTTATGGTGTCCTGTGGGACACCACAGCAAGTGCCATCATATGAAGTAAAATATGTAGGAGGGAGATAAGGGAACACAGAATGATAGAAAGGACAAGTAAAGCTAAAATAACGGGCTAAAAAAGGCACTCAATTCTGAGTATTTGAACAGAGAGATTATATTTTTATACCTGGAAGGTGCAGCTCTGTGGTCCTAACACTAACAGCAGGGCTGGCTTGCTGAGAAARGATAGGAGATCTGATTGATCTGGTAATGGACTGGTCTGTTGAACACGGTGCAGAGAGGAACAGGGAGCTGCCAAGAGCTGCTGGAGACTGAGAGGCAGGGCTGGACTGCTGGGACTTGGCTCCCAAGCGGGCTGTAGGTATCTCAGATAAATCGCATCCAACYGAGGACCGAACAGGGTGCGAAGCAGTAACAGTATTGCCTTGGTGCCTGTTGTTTTCAGTCCATTTGTCTGTGTGCCGCATACCTTTTGACAAACTAAATTATACTTTGTTTTGAAGAATTTGTTTTCTGCATCAGAGCCTTTYAGTGCTTCCCTTCTACCACAATAAAATCCTGTTGGAGTTGGGTCTTGCTGGCTGCAGCAGCAGCTGTCAACAACAGGGATATTKGGAGACCTAATCAGAAGGGTGTTGGCTTCCTAACTCAGAAACAGCTTTGGGCTGGTAGCTGAAGAGTGATGCTGACATGGGGCTGAGCTGCTTAAGGGGGAGGTATCTGATACTGCAAATCCAGGAATTTCCTCCCTCCTGCTGCACACGGAGCAGAGTAGCGAGTGTTAACTTGTACAGCCATCAGCAAACTGCTAAACCACGCAGCCCCAGAGAGATGTTCTTGGTGCCTAAGATGGGCTAGGGGTAGGGTGGAATTCTGTCTTCAGGAAGTTCATCGTTTAGGTAGCTGTACAGCCTGCGGAATGTCTAAATACTTTGGGAATCTGTGTTTTGGATGGGTTACAGGGTCCTTCTCAGCTGTGCCCAGGCTGCAGATGTGGTGGGTGGTAAGAGATGCTCAAACAGAAGGTCTCCACCAAGGCACCACTGAAGCTCTTCCACAGATTACACATCTGGAAAGAACGTATCCTGAAAGGCAYGTTCCAGGCTACATTTCTACTTTTAGTTCGAGAGGGAGTGGTAACAGATCGGAGTATTTCTAAGTGAGGGCAATATTATGAGTGTTATTTTGGTGATAGAATACAGATRATCAAGAAAATGGAGATGATAAATATTTAGTGTGTTATATTTCTTTTTGCATATACTTTGCCTGCCTGAGCAGGTGACTTAACATAGCATGTTTGAACATTTCTCTGCCTGGATTGATCTATTGCCAGGGCACTCATTATGTTCCCTCCAGACAGATTTGTCTCTATATCAATTTAGCATATCTTTAATTACAACTGGGAAACCTTTAAATTTCACCTGTGTTTTGAGCAATTTTCTACATTCTAGTCTGAATTCCACCCAGTAGCATTAAATTAGTTGAATTAACATTCAACCCCAACTCCCCAAACCTACAGGTATATTAAAAAAAAAACAAAGCTTAGAGCACAAAATCCAAGCAGTGAGAAGGCCCRGGATCAGTCACCAGTGAAACTTTACCTGTATTTTCCAGTTCCAAAGGACCTGGGCTGTGTTTGGGGCTCTTTCTGAAGAAGCAGTGGGTCAGTGTTTCCTGGTATCGTTGTTCTTTTGTCATTTACTGAGTGCCACTGAAGCCCAGCATCCACAAGCCCCCAAAGCTAGAATGCTGCTGGTGTTTTCCATGTCCTACTGCAGTGATTTGCAACTGTTCATGAATTAGCTAGCAGAGCACCCTGCAGTCCTCATTGTGCTGGTCCCTCTGTAAATGCAGAGAGCGAGAGCTCRGACTAAAAGTGAGCGCTAATACTGGAAATGCAGTTTGTTGCATGCTAGTCTTTACTGGTATCTGTTTCTGCAGAGCTGAGCCTTGCGTGGCCTCTTGTATCTTTAAGTGATAGTTCCTGGTGATGCCAGTACAGATGGGAGTGCTCAGCATGCCTGCCAACCCAACCCCAGGTGTTTGCAGTTGGATTCACGACCTTATCTTCCAGAAGAGGTGGAACTGCTGCCTGTCAAATTCATACGATCGTTTACTTAAAAGTCTGATCAGAATCTCTGTGYTGAAAGAAGCCAAATAAATCTCAGGTGTGCAGTCCACACAGTAGCCTCACTTAGCCTTTTTAACCTTGCAGTACTTGATTTTTCATCCCTAACAATTTCTTTTGACACAGTTGCTTTTAATGGAATCTCATTGRTCTTATATATATGTTTGTGTGCGTGCATTACATATTGAAAAATATAAATATAGCTATGTATATGATATAAAAACTTATACATATGCAATGCCAATCATTTGCATCCTAGCCAGATTGATTTTGTCTGATTTTTACTTTTTTTCCCTTCTAGATAAGGGTAAACMCTAATTGCAGGGAAGAGATGGATTGACCAGTTTCAGTCCAACTGTGTGATGCCTATTGACGCTAATGTTCCTCGTCGGGGAGGAATAGCTGTTTGGAAGGTTGCACTGAAATTTAGAGTTGAGATGGTCGTGTGTGGCCAAGAAATTCTGTGTATCAGGTTCTTGCCAAGCCCATTCAGAATAAGGAGCTGTGGGATGTAAGACATACAGAGAGAATTCAGCTGTAAAATTCTACTGAGTTTCTAAGTGATCAAGTAGTTTCAGAGMCTTAAAATGTGGCTTATTTTGAATGTTTTAATGTGATAGTAGAAGAATTTTCTATGTGTCAGTCTTGTGGCTAAAAATCTAGGTCTCTGCTCCCAAGCATGAGGTACTGGGTAAAACTGTTCTGTGGATTGTAGCACATGCAGAGCATATTTTCATCAGACCTTATTTCAGAAAATAGCTGAACTACTTTATTCGACAGTTCAAAAAAAAAAAAATAAAAGGAATCAACGAACACCAGGAATTAAATTTCCCTCTTGGATAACTTCAGCAGTTACTTTGAGACAAGTATATTTGCAAAGAAAGGCTGGATCTAACTAAAAAATGCTGGATATGCTTAACTAGAGGTATYGCTAATTATGAAGTGTCTGTAAAGATCTTTCTCAGAGTCAAATATGTTTTTTCATTACATGGTGGCTGTTGTGGCTGCTTTGCTCTGTTTTTCTGGTTTCCTCTGTGCACCATCTGCTGCTTCTGGGTCAGTGTGACAGTGCCCCTACRTTCCTGTATGTGTCTTTGGATGTGGTTATCCTTTCTGAGGTGGTTTTAGATGAAACACCCTTTCTCCTAAGAGCTGGACTGCCCACATCCATTCACAGTTCTGCTACCAATTTTCAATAGCCTTAGGCCACCATTCTCAGCCTTAGTTTTCCAGCAACTTATTCCGWGTGCTTGACCTTCTCTTTACTTTTTTGCACTGATGCTGCACAGCTCTTTCCCAGCAACCCAAAATCTTTGTATTTAGTACTTGAGGTGGTTTCTTTCATGGTGTACCTACATCTCCAAAGACAAGTACAAATTAATTAGCTGGATTTTTGTTCTTCTTCATGTCACTCCTGAGGTTTCTTCCCTTCCAGTTGGAAATGGGGGGTATAAGGCTAATTYTATAAAGTGCTGGGATTTCATAGTTACCTCTTATTCCAGAGACTGTTTAACACTTTGCAGGACCTTGAGTCAGGTCTGGATTCAGCCATTAGATTACTGAAAAAGAAAATGGTGAAACTGTCATTTCAGACTCTTCTGAACAAGGTAGTAGAAAATATACCACATGAAGCAATCATATGTTATTATTTAAATGGCCTAAGATTGATCCTATTTTTCTTTAAGCATCTTTGAAATCTTTCTCCTGTGGACTAGGCACAAAAAAATATATTTTGTAGCATACATTTGTTCMTGGCATTGTCATTTGGTCATTTCTKTTCCAAGTGAAAATGATTTTCCTCTTTTTCCCCCCAGCTTCTGAAAAAGAATTGAACTTCTAAGAACTTAATGTACAAACTTCACTTTTACAGCCTACAAAACTGAAATTGCTTTATGGAACTGGAAAAGAAAGATTTTTATTTATGAGCAAACTCAAGCAATTTTACGTAGTCATTTTGGTCTGGTGGAAGCAAGGAACTCACTTCAGATTGCTAGAAGCACCTACTACAGATCCTTTTTCTAACTGATTTTTTTGATGATAGTTTTAAATTCAGAAGTCTGAGTACTCAGATCTCCAAAATTCTGTTATGTGGGGCCTAAAAATAAGTAACTTTTATAAATATTGCAAGAATATTTAGGATATTCACACCAGCTGAGTAGCATGATATGCTATATATTTGATTTCCTTCCTTTATAAAAATAAGAAAACAAAACTTCTCTGGCAATGGCAAATTTCTAGTATCTTGGTGGATTTTCACAAATTATGCATGAATGGCAAGTTTCACAATGTTTTAAATATTCCTGCAACACAACTTGCATTGGCTGTTCTGCCTGCATGAAGTAGCTGATTTTGCAGGAAGATTTACTGGAAAAAAAAAAAATTGGAAATGGATGAGTGGTGTTGGTCAACCAACAGAACATCAAACATCCTGGAAGCTCCTACAGTTACTCCACGCATTGCAAAGATTAGAGGATATTGTGTGCGTTTAGTGTAATTGAATGGCATTTTTTCAGATAATTTRCAATGGATATCTGCAATACATAAACTCTGAGGCCTGATATAAGCACGCTCTGTTACCTGTATAAAGAGCACTTCTATGTGATGATGTCACCTAAAGTACCTGCTGTACTAGGTAAAAGAACAAGGGAGTCTGAAACTAAACAGAGGAAGCAGCCAGGACAGATTGCACGTGCTTGCTCGTTTTAATTTTCCATTCCCTCCTCTCTTTTCATTCAAGATTTTCAGCCTTCAAATACATTTTAAAAATTTATAATGTTTACTCYTTGTACACATTGCAGGCCATTTGATTTTATATCATGCATTTTTATAGTCTTGCTAGAATAAAATGATATTCTCTCTTAAATCCCTTACTGCCTTGGTCTTTCTTAGTCCAAGTTGCGTGGTCATTTGTTATATATGTCATAGGAGGCCCCATATCCTTTGTAGCATTTTCTTTTTCTATTCCCTTTAGAACTTCTCTATGCCTCAAAGATTTTGCTTCTTTATTTCTTAAACAATTCTGCCTTATTTTTTTACTAAATCACCAGGCTACTCAATTCAGTCAGGAACTTTTGTTTTGCTTGTGCTTTGCTATCTCTAGTTCTATAAATCCTTTGTGTAATGATTTGGCAGTTCAGATTTGACAAGATGGGGAAAAAGAGGATATTTTGCTAAAATATCTTTAAAAATGAAAATCATACCGCACAGCTTCACAAGTCTCATCCATGTTTAAGATCTAGCTTTGTATTCTTAATGAAACCATGCTAGGATTGCTGCTCCTCGCATATGTTCCCTAGTGCTGAAGAGCTTTTAATGAAGATGTAGAATATTCTCTAATCTTTATTTCGAGGTTCCACATTAGCTATGTTTCTCCTCAACTCAAATATGAATTATTTYGGCCCTGTGGAGGTATATTGACAGTTTTTAAATGAGTTAAAATCGCTAATCCAGTGTGCTGAATTTCAGAGCACATTGTGTTACCTGTGTCTGTGTGTGCAAGTGTAGGAGACTGCCTGCATGTGCAGGTTTATAACTTCCAGGTTGGAGATCTTTTTTAAGCACTTATTTCCATTATATTATTTTGATGCAATGTCAACTGTTRTTACATCAGTCTTAAGAAATATTCCTTTATTGCCTTATTAACTATAGACCTAGAGTGAGGATGAGATACTGTGCTAGGTGCGATATATGCTTATAATGTTTATTATATGTTTATTATTATATGCTTATAAAGCTAATCATTTTAGACTGTAATTTCTTTGAGAATAAAAGGTCTTCTATAGAAGAGTCTGTATTTAATGCAATATTATCATCCTTGTTTTATGAATTAGATGAACAGAAACATTCGGAGAACCGAATGATTTTCCCAAGGTCAGGAAGGAAGCTAAAAGCTGAAACTGTATCTCCCTAGTTGCAGTTTCAGTGACCTAAATGTACGCTCATCCTTCATGTGAGTGCCCAGCTACAGTTCTGTGCTTCATGGGCTTGAAAATACTTCCCTGTATCAAAATTTTGTGGAGTCTTTTTATTACCTGTTTTTTTTGGGGGGGGGGAGGGGAGGATAAAGGTAAAATGAACGAAAGARGATGAAAAAGATTTTTTTATCAAATGGGAGTGTGGTGGAAGCAGATGGAAATATACCAGTATTTTAGGCTTATTTAATGATGATTTGTAATTCCTTTCTTTGAGAGTTTTGTGAAATTGAGACATAATAAGGAGCGTTGTCAAGAGAAAAAAAAAAATGAATAGTTCTGGAGTTAGAAAGGTGTGATAATGGGTTTCCCTGGTGGTTTGGAATAATGATGGACTTGATCAACTTTTCAGTTGTTAACAGTTAAAGCTCTGATCCCTGAGTTTAGAAAGGCCTGCACTGATTTCTAGGAGGCTTGTTGAGTCTTGAACTAGGAAAGATCCCTTTTAGAAGGGAATCACTTCCTTCAAGTCCCCTAATCATGGGCAAAACCAAAGCATTCCACCCATAAATTGTTTCATGGTAATTTGGTGATGACCAGACCCTTGACTCTCAAAGCAGTAGGGATCTGTGGGTTGTCCTGTGGGATCAAAGTACATGGTGATCAAAAAAGAGCAGGATTTTCAGCCTCTTCACCRTACAGCTTCATTTTGGATTCCTTGTTGGTAAGAAGTCACTCTGCAAACTGTTCCTTTTAATATCTTTTTTTCTTGTTCTAATTAGTTTGGAAATTTAAGAGTCTTGTTACTGCTAATGTGCTCATTTAATCTTTATAATTTATGTTACCCTTTTTTCATATTTTGGAGGCATCAGACAGATTATAGYAATTCATATCAGCAATGTGATCTATGCACCTAAAAAAGTCAACCTTAAAATAATTTACCTCTGTAAAAGATACTGAAAAGTGTAACTGAGATAAGTATTTGATTCTGCTTCAGTTAAATTCAATGGAATAGATTGTTATGCAAATTCACTTGGCCTGACAGTTCAGACATACAGCTAATAGGAGTGGTATGTGAAAAATCTACTTTTTGAGATTTTAAAATGCTTAAAAAAGAACGTRGTAACAGATTTCCTTTTATAGATGGGAAATAGGGGAGTCCAGGACGGAGGCGACTTGCTGCTGAAGTCGCCCAGGAAGCCACTGGTCCTGCTGGGAGCGGACACAGACCGAGGSTCCCAAACCTCGGCTCTTCTCTGGCAGTGACAGCAAGGCAACTGCAGCCAAAACTTGTACCTCCCATTCTTATCTATGTAGTGCTATGAGTGCAGCAGGTAACTATATCTAGCGAATGGAATACATATATACATTATATATTGAGGATTTAGAATATGGAATTAGCCATGCATATATTATAAAATTATAGATATTTTGTGAGTTATATGAGTGTGTATATATATGAGTATATCTTTATGTGAATTTTGAATTTATAAAGCAATCAACTGAAAAACTTTAAGGATGTGCAGATACGTTTGTGTTTTACCTGAAAAGTTCCTCTTTAATAGTTTAAAGCTATTTTTTAGGGAGTGTCTGAGCATCCTTTATATATTAACAGAGCTCTGTTATGTCAAAACTCTTAATAAAGTCTGGGGGCTCTTTGTTAGGTTGTATAGCTAGGTTTTAGGTGTCATAGGAACAGTATCAAACTTCAACTTCCATTAAATTAGAGGAGCTGTAAGTGCAGTGTAAGTTAAATTAGTAGGCAAGAAAATAAGGTTTCATCATAAATCAAGAGAAATTTGAGGTGAAACAAAACAAGTGTACAAGCAGAATCTTGTAGTTAAGTCATGTTCAAAAATATGAGAAAGCATCAAAGTGAGTAATTGTTTCCTCTTGTGAGTTTTTTCCACATTAACAGAACACTTGTAATATTGATGCATCTTACCAGTCATCTGGAATGCTTCTTACTGGTGGAGTAAACAATTACTTTAATATTTTTGAAGGTTTCTCTACGTTGTAAGGAGCATCATGGGAGCTTATTAAATTCATTACAATACAGAAGAAATTTTAACAGCCATTCTAAGAGGRTTTTTTCCTCCAAAACAACTTTTGTTGTATTGAAAGGAAAAAGAATTAGGGAGTGAGCACTGGAAAGAGGCTCATGCTAGATGAAATGAGGAGGAAAAAAAGTAGCTACTATTACTGCTTATAGTTATGAAATCTTTTGGGAAGCTTTGAGTTTAGGGAATCAGTGTGTTTTTACTCTTAGAGCTGCATTTTTCAGATCATATAAAGAAATATCTAGCAAGAGATAAAGCACTAGCAAATAAAATTGTGGTAAAAAGATGCAGCTTTCAGGTGTCTCAGCTAAGGAAATGTTAGGGTGTCTGGAGCATCAAATCAATCCAGTTATATACAAACAAAATATATGCCTTAAGGAACTGTGTAACTCCTGTGTAACTTGTCTGAAGTTGATGCCTCTTGTCTTCAGATACTGGCAATATGAAAAGCTSTACTGGTCCAAAGTATCCTTCTCTTTAGCAATTGGGGTTTGATATGAATCTGAATCAGCTGGGTGCTTAAGTGTCTTTGAAATGTAAGAGGTAATATTCAAAAGGATCTCCTGGAATTAGTGAGAAGCCAGAGTCCATGATGATGCATGTGAGTTTAGTCTGAGGGACAGGCAGGATGTTGTGTCTATCTGCACTGGTGGGTGGTGATGGGACTCACTTGAGAACTTCTTGGACTTTGCCCATCTCCTTGGGATGCCAGAAAAACAGAGTGCTTGGAAGTGGAGCAGAGAAGCAGATCTGTGAAACATCAGCCTGAAGGTGGTTTCCAAGCTTGAGGTTTTGGATGGGAGTGTCCAAGGAGGTGGTGAACCAGGAGCACAAATGATGATCAACCTTGTGGAACCACATAGGAAGTTGGAAGAGTGATTAAAAAAGTTTGTTTATAAAGAGATGAAGAGAACAAAGTAATGTGTGGTTGTTATAGAATCACAGGAAG